AAGTGAGAGAGAGAAAGGGGCCCGGCGAGGATGTTTTGCCCAGGGCCCAGTGCTGGCTCTCGACGTTCCTGTTTATAAATATATGTATATGATATGTCATTTTTATGTTCTAATATCGCCACATAGTTTTCGATAAGAAGAATAAATATAACATTTCTCTGTCTTAACAGTCGTTAAAGTGTCTCAGTGTGAATCATTTACTGAACATATAAAATACCTGTTGTTTAATATGTAATAAAATTGATAACATTTTTATTTATATATAACTGATATACTAACGATTACATTATATTTTGGTGAATTTTGTTAAGTCAAAAGACCCGTGAAACTTCAGCCAGGGGTGGGACGGTGATTATAATACAGGCTTGGGATCAAAAGATCCAAGGTTCGATCCGCGATATGTCACTGAACACGCTGCGTACAATTTTGTCCTTATGCTACATAGTAGGTTTAGGTTATATTCTTAAGTCTAATTGGAAATTTTACACATTTGATAGTGAAAAGAAAGAATATGTTTTAAGGTTTTTCAGATATATATAAATGCAGACTTCAAACCTTTTATCTTATCAATTATTTCTTGGATCAAACATAAGAACATAATGTTTTGAGCAGTTTTTAAAGTTTTAATTTAAATGTTTGCTCGGGATGAAGGACATTAAGATGTGAAAAGTTCATGAAAATTAATAAATAAGAATGTACGTGTAATATATATAGGTGGCATTACTGTTGACCGGTTGTCCTCTTTCTGGTCAACAATTACAAATAAGGAACGGCCCCCGCCTGGACCTAATTCATGCGTCGCTAATGGAACCGTTTGCGTTGAAAAGCCAAATACCATTCTCGTGATATTTAAAGTCATCTTCCCTTTAGCCGGGTGAGCTCAATAGGTCAGAAGTCTCTCTCCCCTTCGCGGTCCGTTGGTGAAGTCTGAACAATTAGATTGTATCGGTACTGATGTGTTATTAGTGATACTACGCTCCACCAATGTTCAAGGCTTATAGGCCAAACTTTTTGTTTGTAAAAGAATATACAATTTTTTTTTCGATTTAATTGACGACAAATAATTAAGGTTATATAAGCCTAACACGTCAGCTATATAAGTACTAAGTAAACACGATCTTATTATGTACTCCAGTGTTTTTGTGTGAAATATTTTTATGTTGTTTTTGTTGTTTGTTATTAAGCACAAAACTACACAAAGGGCTATCTGTGCTCTGCCCACCACGAGTATCGAAACCCGGTTTCTAGCAGTATAAGCCCGCAGACATACCACTGTGCCACTAGGGGGCAATATTTTGAGTCAGAAGTTGGAAATAGTTCCTTGTTTTGCAACTAGTCGGGTATAAAACATTGTCATTTACAGTCTTTTATCAGTTGTGTCATTCTGCCACTGGGGGGCTCGTGAAATGAAAAATGTTATTAATTTCTAAATATTCGCAGTTCAGTGATTTGCACAGTAGTAAATGAAGTTACATTCAGGTAACTTAACATTAAGTTCAACTATATCCATTATGATAACTACAATGCTGGTTTTGTATTATGCTGAAAACGTCGTATCTAATTGCGCTGATCCGCAACTTAACTCACTGTAAGACATCAAGTTCCGGCAAATCTCGTGGAACGTTTTTTTGTTGGTACATATCATCAGAACAAAAGAAAACGCATGGTGTATTGTATTCGAAAACGGATATAAACATTTGTCTTCGCCACAAAGCAACCTTGAAATTTAAATACTTCACAATTTGGCCGGGCATGGCTAGGTGGTTAGGACACTCGACTCGCAAGCTGCGGGTCGCGGGTTCGAATCCCCGTCACACCAAACATGCTCCCCCTTTCAGCCGTGGGGGCGTTA